GAAGCCATGGAAGACTACACATTAGCGATTCAAAGCAAAGAGGAGTTTGAGATTCCCTATTATAATCGAGGATTGATACGCTACAGGCTGGGTAACCATTTATTTATACAATCTGTATGTATTTGCATAATAATATGGTGAAAGAGATCAGGTTTGAATTAAATTGGGTTTTTTGGTCCATCTGTATTTGCTTTGCCCGTGTTTGATTTGCTCCTCATGTTCAGCCTCAGAGTTACTGCTATCTCTCTTGCTCGTTCCTTGCAAATATTTTGAAATGTGGTTTGGTTTCATCTATCTTAAAAGAGTCACGTTCTAAGGTAACTTGCTAGGGTGAGAACCCAGAAATTTCTGGTTATGTGCTGTGAGGAGAATGACAGCAAGCACAATTTGCTGCTGTGTATGGGACATGTTCTCGTAGTGCAAGCTGTCAACGTTCTGCTGGCAGACGTGAGTGTGTCACAAATACACCGTAAGTAAGTGCTTTGAAATGACCCGGTCTGGAATTATGACCAAGAATTTATACTATTAGGAGCAGCTGGTAGAACTTGCCATCAGATTTAGACACAGGAGAATGGTACCCTCAGGCTTGGTAGAGATCAGCCATGTTGCTTTGGAAGGGGCCATATGTAAATACAGGTGGAATTGGTCGGGCAGGGCACATGAAGCAGGCCGGTGTTCACTGAGTGAAGTGAACGGCCAGGTTGGTAGGGTTTGAGTAGGTTGCAGAGATAAGGTAGTTGCGCATTTGCTTGCAACTTTGACATGAAGCATTTAAAATGTAAAATGTCGACATGTTAACATTTTATACCGTTACTATTTGACCGTCTGAATTTCACCTTTTTGGAGTGCTCAAATCCCTGAGTGTCCAGTGCCTCGGGTCGTCCTCCCGACATGGAAAGCATTGTACAAATGTGATTTTGTATTGTATTGCTCAGCTACAAATGGAGATCTGCTGCTACACATTTTGCCATCTAGTGGTCATGTGTTACACTGATAATGGTTAGTGAGATTGAATGACTGACTCAGCACATTGTATAGCTATGTCCATCATGCCACCAAAACCAGGGCAAATTTTTTAATAAAATATTTTAGGTAGCAAAAAATCAGGATATT